AGCACCTGCAGGCCACATTTTCCGTCTTCTTTTTTCAGAATTCGATTACCCGGACATCTACCTTTTCAAAACTAAAAACTGTAGGTCTCTATCTCTTTTCTATAAAAAGTTATTAAACAAATGATGGAGTCTCTTCTATTTTGAAATGAATAGTACTTAATTACTGTCTCGACCTCCCGTCTTACCGTTGCCAACTGCTTCTGTTTGTTACACATCAAGTCTTCTGTTATTTCTCTACTCTGTAACTGTTGTTGTCAAATGTAATGGTTGCTGTGTATTCACAGGTCAACCTATAACTCTATTTTTGATCTGTTACCACTGTATACAACAACTCTGTATGAGTGTATACACCTTAACGTCCAACAAGTAACCAAAATAATCTCTCTATAGATGTTCTCTTTAAAAGCAAAACAACAAATAAAAACCATAGAAAAGTGACGAGGACGTTTGTACGCGAGCCTCTAGGGTTAACAAAAAACAAAAAATGTTTTGTCTTATAAAAATAAAAGAACAGGAAAGAAGAAAATCTTATAAATTAATAAGAGATTTGTTTCACTATTAAAAAATTCATTTACAACTTTCTATCAATTCTTCATTTATCTTACAAAGGAAGAAACTGAACAGAAAGATTGAATGGCAACATTATTAGAGTATGGAGGTACGTCCCTATGAAAAACGTGTTGTTCTTTTCGTTTTAATGGGAGTCTCCCCACTTGGTTTTGGCACCATCGTGTAGAGCACATTCTGAAACCAATAGAGCAACAGTTTTCCAGTTTCAACCTTTAAAAGTTTTTTAAGGTTGAACCCTGTTTTTTGAACAAAATTTTAATTTTTGAAAAAACTTTTGTTTCTGATATGAAACCTCGAATTTGATCTCATTCGATCGAGGTCAGTAAGATGTGCTCATAAAAGTATTTCCAGCCTTGCCACCTGAGTTTCAGCTGGCTGATCGACGTTTGGTGCAAAATGTAATTTGGGAAAACCTTGCAAGAGGTTTCGCCTCAGGAAAGCATTTTAAAGGAAAACTTGGGCCAACCTGTGCCACCAAGTCGTTCAGAATTAGATTTTACACCGGATTAGTGTAGGAATTTCGAAAATTCGCAGATGAAATTCATTCAAACTCATGCGAAAAGGCTGAAAATTGTTTTGTGAACATACCTTACTGAGCTCTATCGAACGAGAGCAGGTCTCTAAAATTAAAATTTTGTTCAGAAATTAAAAATTCGCTAAAAAACGAGTTCAAACTTCAATTGTTTTAAAAAAGGTTTTGGAGTTTGAAACAGAAAAAACTGTTGATTTATACGTTTAGAGTATGCTCTATATGATGGTGTAGGAAACCAAATAAGGGACTCTTCTTAAAGTTAATCTCATCACCTAACGCAGGAGGCTGGACTCATAAGCAGCGCCCATCATGGCAAGCACCAACTCTATCGAATTTGGCAAAAAATACAAACCGAATTTATCCGTCATCGTCGTCTTCTGTTGCTTCGTCAGTGGCTTCAGTGAAGTCAACAGCACGTTCAACAAACTCAATTGCATTCAAATTTGATAAGAGGAGTGTCGATGAGAATAATTTTCGTCAAGGCACAGTTGGAAGAAGTATTACAGAACAAGGAACAAAGAAGTAGGGAAAGAGTTGTTATTTTTAACTTACACTGTTAATAGGTTCATAACTAACTTTTAGATTTTGTACGACGAAAGTAAAATGGGCTATTGGGATCGTAATAGGTTTACTTGTACTTGGAGGTTGTATTGGCGGTGCAGTTGTCGGTGTTACACTAGCTGCTGCTAGCGGTAGGTAGTCTCTCAGAGGTAGACGATTTTTAAATGTACTCAATCAATTGTTATATGTTTCAGGAGGTAGTACGACGACTACGACAGTCTCTCCTGTTTTTGCAGGAACTACGATAACAACAACAATAGGTATGAACAAGAAGCTTCGAAGAATCTTTCATTAGCACAAATTTTTTTTCTATTCTTTTTAGCTACGGTTTTAACATCTACTTTGATCAGTACTACTATAAGTACAACGTCAGTAACAATGGCCTCCACAATTACAAGTAAGGAAGGCTCTTTTAATTTTTTATCTGAATATGAGGGTTGATATCTATTTAGTAGCCGCCACTACGACTGCTGCAACAACGACTGCTGCAACAACGACTGCTGCAACTACGATTTCTACAACAGCTGGTCCCATTTGTTCTGCTACTTATGTCACCATGTTATGGACTGCCTCAAATGTTGCAGCTTCTGCTTGGATTCAAAAGAATTATACATTCACTGCTACCCAATCACAACATTCAATTTGCTTTAATTTACAGAATTATGGCCAATGGAATCTTGACGATGTTTTCGTCAGTAGTAACACAACAAATTTAATTGTTAATAGTGGTTTTGAAACTGGTAGTTATACTCCGGCTTGGAGTATGTGTGGTCTATGTTCAACAAATGATTGGACGATAGATTCTACATCAATGCATTCTGGCTCATATTCATTTAAAACTGTTTGTGGTGCACCTTCTGCATGGTTATCTCAACAATTTTCAACTACAGTTGGAACTGTCTATTCAGTTTCATTTTGGGCAAAAAATGTTTGGCAGACTTCTCCTACTATAGATATTCATATTGGCTGAAGTGAATTTAGTACCAGAGAGATATTTTTTGTAGCTTCGTATTTTAATTTTTTTTTCTATCAGGGAGCAACTAATTTAACTGCAAAAATTTTTTTTCCTGTTAATTTTATTCTTTTGAAATAAAGAGATCAGCAAATCTTCGAAACTTAGATTTTTTAAAAGTAATGCACTCTCCGTCATTCTGCATTCTCTTCGGCGACATAAGCATAGATCTTGGCCTTGTAGAGTTAGCTGAACCAATTCCCTAAAACGAAATAGCCGTTGAAGAATTTTCACCTGCTCTAAGAGAGAGTCCACGACTAGGGGTGGCACTTCCTCGTTTTTTATACAGTAGGCGCCAAATGAATTTCCCCCCTACGTATTTTTCAGAGAAAAATGACAGGATCCATTCTTTTCTCATTTTTCTACACGTAGA